CCACTCACCTCAGCCTCTCAAAGGTGCGGGATTACAGGCTGAGCCACCGAGCCCGGCTAATTGTGAATTTTTGAGGACCCTACCCACAGTACTTCAAGTTCTAAGTTGGTTGTAGGGTGCATTTAAATCCCATCCCCAACCCCTAATCTATATTAGTTGGTGACATCAGCTACCTTAAGATTTTTTTTTTTTTTTCAGTTGGAGTCTCACTCTTTCGCCCAGACTGGAGTGCAGGGGCCGCTCCCGGCCACCGCAGCCTCGACCTGCTGGGCTCCGGCGATCCTTCCGTCTCAGCCTTCCAAGGAGCTGGAACTACAGGCGCGCGCTACCACGCCCGGCTCATTTTTTTTGGATTTATTGTAGAGATGAGGTCTCGCCAAGTTGCCTAGGCGGGTCTCGAACCTGCAGGCTCAGGCAATCCACTCACCTCAGCCTCCCAAGGCGCGGGATTACAGACTGAGGCACCAAGCCCGGCTTCCCATGACTTATTTAACCGTTCCCATACTGCTGGACATTTAGTTTCCATAATTTCTTGCTGCAATGGATGCTCTGATAAATGCCCTTAATCCATATACTGTTCACTGAACACTGATTTCCTGAGAATAATAGGGTGCTGAGAGTTCTGAAGCAAACCATGTTTTCAACAAGGCTCTTGAGATAAACTGTCATTGTCCTGGAAGGCTGTGCAAACACTATCATGAACAGCTCTTTCCTGCATCGGATCTTCTTAGGAAAGAATGACATGGTCATTCTCTTCCTCCTTGCACCCAGTTCCTTTACTAGCTTGTGTTTCTGTTATGACTCCATCACGGACTGGACAGATACTCCCCGAGTACTCCCTTTACGCCAAGTGCAGCACTAGGCACTCCAGGAACAATGCCAACAACAGGAGGCCCAGTGTGCCCATGACTGCCCACAACGAAGGCCGCCCCTTCTCCCACAGCCACACCACTCTTCCAACCAGCGCTTTTCATCACAGATTTTAATTTCGAGGGATGAATGAAGATGGACTTCAAAGTTCTGGAAAGTAAAAGGATCCTGGAACTAAAAGCAGCAGCAGTGCGCACTTACCAGAAAGGCATTGGATAGGCAAAGCGTTCTCTCAGGTCAACACTCATGAAAGGAACATATTCTATACCATTTATTTTTGATGTTGTCCTATAAAACATGAGAAAAAAATCTAAAATGTTGAGGTATACCTTAATTGCCAATCTTACTTAAATTCTAAAATTTAAATGACAAGGTGTGATACCGCATTAAAACTAAACTGACAACCTCATGTTGTTGATATGTCTTTATTTGGAAAAAATTTTCTAAAAATAATTGAATGCTGAAAAATAACTGATTTAATTCAGTTAGAGTATTCTTTTTAAGACAAATACCCTTCACAACAAGATAGGCCTGTTCTAGAGGTAATAAAAGTATTCTTGGCACCAGGATAAAAAACGAATTGCATCCTAAGCTGAAGGGGAGAAATTAATTGCTTAGTTATTTTGGAATTTACAAGCATGACATTTACAATTCTGAAAAACAAGTCCTTCGCATTTCCTGGCTATGGAGATATGGAATGGGCAGTGGAAGACAGAAGACTCGGTCACAGGTGCTCAGCCAGCTATGGTCTGTCAACAAGGAAGGAGGGGCACAGTTGCTTTGCCTATTTTCTCCCTGTTTTGTGAATGTTTATTTGTACAAATTAAAGTATTTCCTTCTTGTCTGTTTCTTTCCCTTATTTTGTTTGCAAGAAACTGCAGGCTACCTTCACAGCTTAGTCTTCAGATGACAATATTCAGCCAATCTGAATACTGCCAGCAATAGACACGAGGACTGTGGGAATGTGTGCATCCTCCTTCTGGGGACAGAATGAAGACTGTGCCCCTGAGGGCAGGACAGTGGCGGAAACACAGAGCTGGGCTGTGGATAAAGTTTCTGTGTGTGCAGAAGGGAGCACCGGGAGGCTGAGCAGCTGAGGCACTGGACTGTTACGAACATCTCTCTGCCTCAGCACTGCCCTTCCTCATCCTGCTGTTGTGTTGGTTCAGAAGCAGCTCTTCCCAGGCCAAGAGAGTACGCTAGCAGGCCTACAATTACAACCTTTGGCAGAAAAGGAAAGACAGGTGCTCTCAGATGGTTGTTACCTAGAAAGGAGCCCTTTCAGAAAATAAAAATGAGCACCTACATGACTCCACCGCTCCAGGTAAGCTAGGCTTCCTCCAGGGCCAACAGAAATACACCGGCTCAGAGACAGCCTGTCTACACCGGTTCAGAAGGCAAACAAGAACTTCCACATTACGTATTGTGCTTTGTATTTTTAACATCCTCTGAGACTGCTTTCAGACAGACAGAGTGGATTGCCTAGGCCAGGGGTCAGCGAATGTTTTCTGTAAAGAGCCAGATGGTATAGAGTTCGGACTTTGAAATGAGGTCTTCTTTTTTTTTTTTGAGTTAGAGTCTCACTCTGTCGCCCAGACTGGAGTGCAGTGGCCGTTCCCGGCCACCACAGCCTCGACCTGCTGGGTTCCAGTGATCCTTCTGCTCAGCCTTCCAAGTAGCTGGAACTACAGGTGCGCGCTACCACGCCCAGCTAATTTTTTGATTTATTGTAGAGATGAGGTCTCACCTGCCCGGGCAGGTCTCGAACCCACGGGTTCAGGCAATCCACTCACCTCAGCCTCCCAAAGATAGCCTTCTTATTTGTTAGTTTGTTCTGCTACAAACCCTTTAAATAAATGCAAACATTATTCAGAGCTCAGGGCTTCTGTCTGCTGACCTCTGACCTAGACTGCTATTTCAAAGTCACAATTTTCTTCCCCACTGGGGTTCCAGTTACAAAGTTACACAGACTAAGAGTGGTCTGCCACGCACTATCTGCTCCCCAACTTTTCTCAATTTTGCAGAATGCCAGGATTTTCAGAAAAACGTAACGTGTTCAATAAAAATGTTAACACTAAAATATATTGGGACTATCGAATTTTAGCTATTTCCAGTTGTAACTACATGATGACATGTCTTATAATTACATAATAACAGCACAATACACTACAGCAACGATTGGAATACAACTGGGCAAACCCAATGAGAATACAATCACCCGCACTGATGATGCCAGCAGAGTTCTTCATGACAGTGGAGCGTGATTACCTGAGCACTTCTATTTCTTCTGCAGTGTATCTCTGTCCTTGTGCGTCACACGACTGTGGACTTATAAATGGCTGAGGTCTTTCAAGGAAGGGATTGGTTCCTAGTGGAAAATGGGCTCTCACTGGAGGGTGCTTTGGTTTAATATTCGTTGGCTTGACTTTGCACAACGGCTTTGTCAGAGGCTCACTCAATGCTTCTGCTCTGCAACAGAGAGAGGCACAGAAACATTGTTCTAGTTTTTCTTCTCATATGTAAGCTTTCCAGGAAACAAAATTTACTTCAAGAGCTAGCCAAACATCCCTAGTGTAAAATTAGTATATAAAATTCTTACACACCAGTCAACATTTCACTAACCTACTCCCAAAGGTAAACATTTTTTGCAAGCAATATTCTACTGACAACATTAACTGAGCACCTGCTATATGTCAGATACTATGCAAGGTACGGGGTATACAACAATGCATAAAACAATCCCTGCCCTTAAGGTAGTCACAGTTCTGTAGGGAAAGACAGTTGCACCAAAAATAACAGATGTGAGGACGAAGGTATCACACGCGAATGAATGCCCAACAGAAGTTGCTGACTCAGTGAACTGGAAAGGGAAGGAGAATCAGGGAGGGCTACTCTGAACTGAATCTCAGGCGGCAGGAGTTCCCCTGGCAGCGAGCCAAGTCTAGGTAGAGGGAACATGTGCAGATGTGTGGAAGGATGCGACAGCAGATTGAGGTACGGTCATCTGCCCTGTGGCAGTGCCAACAAGAGGCAGCAGGAAATGGGACAAGGGAGGAGGCGAGGGGAGCACGGGAAGGAGGCGGTGAAGGAGACAAGGGGAGCACAGAAGGAGCAGGTGAGGGAAGCGCAAGGAGGAGGGAAGGGGAGCACGGAGGGAGGAAGGCTTCGTATGATCTGCAAGGGAGCTTTGACTTTTTTCTGTCAAATAACTGACAAAATAAAAAAACAGAAGGTGTGTTTTTTTTGAGTTGGAGTCTCACTCCGTCATCCAGGCTGGACTACAGTGCCACTCTCATGGCCACCCCAGCATCAACCCGCTGGGCGCCAGCGATCCTTCCGCCTCAGCCTTCCAAGTAGCTGGAACTACAGGCGCACACTACCACGCCCAGCTAATGTTTTGTTTATTGTAGAGACGAGGTCTCACCAAGTTGTCTGGGCCGGTCTCGAGCCCGCGGGCTCAGGCAATTCACTCGCTTCGGTCTCCCAAAGGCTGAGCCAATGAACCTGGTCAAAACTGAACCTTTTAACCTCTAGTCCACATGTGGAGTTCAGGGGTCTCATGAACATTCGGAACGTGTATGCAAGAAAGTCAGTGTCCCTTTTCTTGAAAGAGTGGATCCATGATACTCAAAAGCTCCTCAGCCAACGGCTGCCTCGCCCCTGCTTTGCTTAGGAGGCCCGCAAGAACCCCGGACAGTTACCCACCCAGGTGACGAAACCACTCGTGACTCTCGCTGGTGGAAGACGACAAGGTGCAGACGACAACTCGGCATCGAGGGCTCCTACCTCCCACGGGTTTGGGGAAACACCCGAAGGTCATGAAAGGAGGGACGACTGTCAGGCCTCAAGGGAAAGAGTGGCTGGGGCAGCACGGCCATGAGTCAGAGCCTCCAAGGAGGTGGCTGGACGAACTCGTGCTTCAGACGTGCGTGCAATGTCCCCCCTTCTCTTACCTATAACACTCTTTCGAGAGGCCATTCTCTTGTGCAAATCCATTCGTCCTTCCAGTAAACCCCACTGAACACACACCGTATGTCAGGCTCTCGGCTAGGTGCTTAGTGACAGCACCGAGCAAACAGCCAATATCCTCTGCCCTCACAAACCTGCTCAGTGTGGGCTGGAGGGAACACGACACTCATAAAAAGCTGGTAAATCTCATATACCATGCAGACTGGTGAAGTATGAAAAGTGTTCGAGAAGCAGCAGATGACAGTGCTGGAGGAGACGCAGCTCTAGGGAGAATGGCGAGGTGGCCTCCCTGGAAGTTGACCATTGCCTGTCTGAGCCCTGGCAAGGACTGAAAACGAGTCCAGTCTCAACTTTTCTATTTTTGGAAGTAGATCTGGAAGGCTCTCTGGGAGTGCTCCTCTTTGGAAGTCTGATATTGCACAACAGAAGGGAAGTCTTTCATTTCACATTGCACAATCATTTCTGTCCTACACATGGCAAAAATTAAAGACAATTCTTGATGGTCATTTCCTGAGTTTAAAGCAGAGAACTAGAGAGGGGAGGTAAATTCACTCAGAGGGAGAAAGCAAATGTGCTTTCGATCTCAGCTGAAAGACGGAGGTGCACTGCTAGGACCTCTACCCCACACGAGACAGATCTGTTATACAATAAGCAACACATCAAGTGCCAACCATGGAAAAGAACTTGAGTGACGACAACTCACCTATCTAGCGCCTGTCGGGCCAACTGCTTCAGTTTATTTTGCAGGGCTTTATCAGCAGTTTCATAAGACTTAAGAGAAAGAGAGAGACAGAAATTGTAAAGCATAATTATTTTTTAATTTGCTTGACCCATGATACTTCTAAGCACAAAAGCTTACAATGCACATTGTACTCCCTGAGATTATGAAAGAATAAACAATGATGACATTTTATTTTCACCCTTAAAGGTATCCTTTGCAACACTGAAGTGAACTTTAAAACCACTTAATGTGGACAAGTGCTGACGGGCCACAGCTGCTTGACCATGGAGCCACGGAGGCCGAGTGGCAGGAGGTTCAGAAGCCCAGCATTTCCTATGGCCTCAGGTATCTACAGAAACCAGGCTGGATGGCTTCTCTGAACAAAAGACCCTGTCGGAAAGGGAACGCAGCCCCACCTACTCCACCTCGTCCTCCTGGCAGACACACCTTACGCCTAGCTGTCCCTGAAGTCAAGCTCTGTGGAGCACTAAGGCCCCTCAGCATTGAGATTTTATACTGCTTAACTAATAAAGTTCTCCAAAAACACTACCTTAATTTTTAGAGTATAAAAACTGAAAAAAAAGTGACGAATTCTTTCCATAATCATATAGAAAGATATAATATCTATAAATCATAATTGATTTTAGTTATATAAAAAAGTTAAAAATACTCCTCTTACAACTTCAAAAACATCTGCTTGTGACTTAATACTCTCAAAATTTCAACAAGTTATAAAAATCCATTATTAGTTTGCTACTCATCATCTTTTACTGAGGAGTAACTTAGTTACATTTATAATTACGGAACTTTTTTCTTCAAAGAATTATTAAGGAAAGAAAATAAACCAGTGAGAGAAGTCTCTTAGCGGGATTCCACCAAATCTAATTTGTAGCTCTACATACGGTTTTCAGACAGAGATCCACAGCTTCTGTATACAACTCGATGGCATCTTCCACGTTTCCCTTTTCATCTTCATCAAATGCTTGCGTAACAAGGAAGTGGGCCCGCTCCAAGTCCAGCTGATGTTTTGATTTCAAAGGATCAGCATTCTTGGACTGCACTAGAATAGGAAAAAAGCATATATAGAAGGAATACTGCCTAAATACAGCCAGGGAACACCACACCACTTTAGCACACTGAAGACATTCTTAACCAAAACTCTGTAATTCTTCACTGAAAAGCTTAGCAAGGTAAAAACAAACAAGCCACTCCCCCAAAAAAAACTTTTAAAAGGACGATTTTTTCTCCTTCTTTTCATCTTAATTTTAAGGTCTATAAAAAGGTCTCCAATTTTTAAATAATCACACAATAGACACCAAAGATGAGGAATATTAAAAATGCATCATTTAGTCTCTTAAAAAAGAAAGAAAAAATCAGTGGGGCACGGTGGCAAGTACAGCTACCCAGGAGGCTGAGGCAGGAGGACTGCCTGAGTCTGAGAGGTCAAGGCTGCAGTGCGCGGTGATCGTTCCCCTGTACTCCAGCCTCGGCACAAAGTGAGACACCGACTCAAAAGCATTATCTACCAAAAGCCTTTTCCCTGACTTTCTCCCACAGAAGTCCTCCTCACATACCCCTCCACCCCTAAAGCAAAACACAACTTTGGAATCTGCTACATCTTAAGAAAAGCCATTTTCTACATTATTTTAAAAATCAAATTTTTTTCTTTACAGACAAAATTGTATAAAATAATACACTAGGGCTTGATTATAAAGCTCCTGCTTTTTCTATTCAGCCTGGGCCCAGAATGAGTTACATGTTCTTCCTGCTTTTCAAAATAAATATTTTCATTTGTTTCTCACATGAAGCTATACATCTACCAGGAAGCTGTGTCCAGAATATACAATTCAAAAATAAAAAGACAATTCAGTTAAAAAGTGGGCAAAGGATCTGAATAAACAGTTCTCCAAAGGAGATGTCAGCTGGCCTGTGAGAAGTTGCCCAACATCATTAGCTACAAAAAAAAAAATACAAATCAAAACACAATGAGAGGCTACCTTACACTCACCAGGATGGCTACCATAAAACAGACAGTAACAAGTGTTGGCTGGAATATGAAGGAAATAGAATCCTGACATGCTGCTGGCGGAATTGTGAAATGGTGCAGCCACTTGAAATACAGCTTGGGGCAGGGTGTGGTGGCTTATGCCTGTAATTCCAGCACTTTTGGAAGCCGAGGTGGGAGAAATGCTTGAGGCCAGGAGTTCAAGACCAGCCAGGGCAACATGGCGAGATCTCATCGCTAAAAAAATAAAAAAATTAGATGGGTGTGGTGGTATGTGCTCACAGTTCCAGCTACCTGGACAACTGAGATGGAAGGATCCTCTGACCTCAGGAGGTTGAGACTGCGGTGAGCCGAGATCGCACCACTACACTCAAGCCTGGGTGTCAGAGTGAGGCACTGACTCAAAAAAGAAAAACAGCTTGGCAGTTTCTCAAAAAGTTAAACCCGGAGCTATCCTATGACCCAGTAATTCCACTCCTGGGTAGAATGCCAAGAGAATTGCCAGGATTTCAGGTGTGCACCACTGTACCTGGCTTGTGTTGATATTTTAAAAACTTTAACCCTCATAAACAGCCCTTTGAAGTAGGTACTAATTCCATGCATTAAACGAAGACAACAAAGCTCAAAAATGTGAAGCCATCTGGTCCAGGGTTTCTTAGCCCTGGCATTATTGACACTTTGGGCTGGGTAATTCTTTGTGGTGGAGGACTGTCTTGGGTACTGTACCGCTTTCAGCGACATCCCTGGCCTCTCCCAAACCAAATGCCAGTAGTGCAGTCCCGCCACCCGCCTGGCAGTGCAAAAACCAAAAATCTCTCCAGAAACTGTCAAGTGTCTCCTGGGGGCAAAGTGCTCCCCATCAAGAACTCCGGACCCAGCCTGAGGTTTCATTGGTACAGATGTAAGGGTAGGGACTCAGCACACATATTTTTAATTCCAAGTCTTCAGCTCTTTCTGCTACACTGATTAATTTTGAACTGTTACCTGTCCTCACAAAAAATCAAATTATATCTCAAGCATTTCCTGCCTGTCAGTACATTATTTTGTTCTATACAGGCTTTTCAATTGAAAAAGGACTCTTCTGCTTACAACAACTATTTACTAAATAAGGAAACCATTTAATTTTCCACAGATTATGCTCCATTTTGTAACAAAACAGGGCAAAATAATTGACAAAATAATTAAGGTATGCTATGACTTAAAAATCCTTTCTAGATGGTTGTGGCAGCTCATGCCTGTATTCCCAACACTTTGGGAGGCCGAGATGGGAGGATTGGGTAACAAAGTGAGACTCTACCTGTACAAAAAATAAAAAAATTAGCTGGGCGTGGTGGCACATGCCTGTGGCCCCAGCTACTTGGGAAGCTGAGGTGGGAGGATCGTTTGAACCCAGGAGTTGGAGGTTGTAGTGAGCTATGATCGCACCACGGCACTCTAGACCAGGGGACAAAGCGAGACTCTGTCTCAAATAAATAAAAACAAAAATCCTTTTTGGACTTTTCTTGTTTCACTGGCAAGTCTTCATTCTTCATAAGATTAGGGCTGTTTCATTTGGTGCCTAAACATCATATATAAATATAAATATTTAGAATTTATTTCCCAAAAACCACATGGAATTTTTTAGGTTTAGCTTTATTAAACACAAAGTAGGAATAACTTTTAAAAAATTATTTAGGGGACAACAACAGGTGATTCATATGATTTTTTCAATTGTGACAAGGACTTCAGGGGTTTAAAGAGCACTCTTACTGGGAGAAGCGGGCAGCCTACGGCCTCAGTGTCGTCAAGTGTGTGCATGTGGGAGGGAAAGGTTCTCTACCTTTGGCCAACACAGCTCCTACTCCTGGAATAGCATCACCATCTGATGTCTCCTTTCCAGAGCATTCTGCTCTGGCATTCAGTCTAGCATGATCCAGAAGGGGGTTTCCATGACAGTGCAATATCTGCACTTCTATCTCGCCACACCTGATGAAGGTCTTCCTGAGGGCACAGACTGCCACTCGCCTACCACTCAGTACTTGCCACAGGGCCCAAACATGCACTCAATTCATGGTTGCTGAAGGGAAGGAAATCATCTATGGAAAAAATAGGCAGATCGTAGAAGTAAGCACGAAAGATTACTTTCCATACTTCAGATTTATTTATTTTTGAGTCACAGTCTCACTCTGTTTCCCAGGCTGGAGTGCAGTGGCACGATGATAGTTCACCAAAGCCTCGACCTTCCGGGTTCAGGCAATCTTTCCAGCTAATTTTTTTGATTTTTTTGTAGACATGAAGTGTTGCTATGCTGCCCAGATTTATCTCAACTCCTAGGCTCAAGACATCCTCCTGCCTCAGTCTCCCAAAGTGCTGGGATTACAGGCATAAACCACGGCATCCAGGCAAGTTATTTTATTTGAAAACACTTGTTTATGAAATAAGGTTCCTAATTATTGGGCAGTTAAACTTAAGAACTTCATTTACTGGTTGAGAAAACGACGTTCCTTTGAATTACATGATATTTTGAATCCACAATCAATGTAACTTTGTATCAAGTGAGGCCACTTTTCTATACGTGCAATTCCTTGGCATGGTCTAAACTTCCCTGTTTTGGGGGATGATCCTAGCAAGGAAGCCAACACATGCTCCTAACTGGATAGCTCTATCAGAAGGAGTGGCGGAAAGCAGCCAGTCCATCAGAATACAGAGGCCCTGCGTGCGGCTTTACAGTGCAGCAACAGCCACAGAGGGTCAAAAGGGCCCCTGAAGGGAGGAGGGCCTTTCTTTTTTTTTTTTGAGCTGGAGTCTCACTCTGTCGCCCAGACTGGAGTGCAGTGGCCGCTCCCGGCCACCGCAGCCTCGACCTGCCGGGCTCCAGCGATCCTTCCGCCTCAGCCTTCCAAGTAGCTGGAACTACAGGCGCGCGCTACCACATCCGGCTCATTTTTTGATTTATTGTAGAGATGAGGTCTCTCCAAGTTGCCCGGGCGGGTCTCGAACCCGCGGGCTCTGGCAGTCCACTCACCTCAGCCTCCCAAAGGTGCGGGATTACAGGCTGAGCCATCTTCCTTAAACACAGTGTCAGCAGGCCGTCATTTTCTTTCTTTTTCTTTTTTTTATTGAGACAGTATCTGACTCTGCTGGCCAGGCTGGAGCACAGTGGTAGGATCAAGCTCACTACAGTTTCAAGTTCAGCCTCCTGAGTAGCTGGGACTCAGGCGTGCGCCCCCACACCTGGCTAATTTTTTATATATATATGTTTTTGTAGTGATGAGGCCCCGCTATGTTGCTCATGCCAATAGTGAACTCCTGACCCCAAGCAATCCTCCTACCTTGGCCTCCTTCAAAGTGTAAACCACTGAGCCTGGTCTCATAATTTTCTTTTCTACTCATCTGAACAGCAGCTTTTGACACAAACCTCTTACCTCTAACAAGACTGTGACCAATAAGCCTATAAGTACTTTTATCACAGCACCTGCCAAGCTGTTTACAAAAATAAATACATGCTGCTCCACGTTTCTACTTACGTGTGACTTTCCATGGTTTAAAAAAAGGGGTTAGCAAAGGTTTGGAGGCAGAGGACACCGACGGGGACGAGATTGTGAACCTACTGCTGAAGACTTTGAACAATGAAGAGGAACAGTCACTTAGCTGTAATATCAGGAAGTGACAAGTGACAGATCTTTGAAAAGTAGACCTTAACAGGGTCCTAGCCCTAACTTCGCAGGTGATAGATTACTTGAACAGAGCTGATCTGCCATCTCTCTACCTCTGGGAAATTAGGAAATTGGACTGTAATACCTCTAAGGCTTCTCCGCAAAGGCCTAACACTATTTCCATGCTACGGCTTTCCGAGAGGTGACCATCAAAAGTGGGCGGCGCGGCAACAGAGTGAGGACCACGATCCAGCGATGAAAACGAAGGAGAGAAGACAAGATAGTGATGAGCGTAGCAGTCCTGTACTAACCTGCTGAATGGAGAGCCTGAACCCTTTCCAGGTACTCGTTTATTTTTTCCTGAATACGTTCTAGGCTCGATCCCGCCATCTCCGCATAAATCAAGGCCTGCGCAGCTTCCTAAGAGGAGGTCAAAGGAATCAATCAAATTACAATACGAATTTTCTTGTCCACATTCTAACTTGCGATGATTTCCATAAACGAAAAAATAAAAATGTCTTTAAGATAGTAGTAATTTTTTCCATAACGTGATTTATATAATCCTCCAATACTTTTGTTCCGTTTTCAAAACTCTCAAATCTTACATCGTTGAAAGTTACAAATTCAAGTATGAGGAATTGATTAGAAACATTCCTCTAGAACAGTTGTGGTCTACACGTTTTCTATTTTCCTTTTTCCTTATGTGACAGATCAAACTTAAAATTATATGCCTTGAAATTGGAACAGAATCTATGAAGCGCTAAATCAACAATAATCACTAACATAAAATGACAAGAGGTTAAATCTCTTTCCACAGAAAATCCTGTCCAAGAACGACACATCTTAAAGCAGATCTTAGTTATATAAAACAAACTTATTTTAGTTCAGAAACCCTGCCTTCTTCTCCCAATGACCCCTTGACTTCCACAGCCAGCTACGCCATGGCCAGTGAGGAAGGGCGTCCATGCACCGTCGCCTCTCCAGGAAGCTGACCATCAGACCAACCTAAAGGCAGCGGCTCCTCTAAGCAACCCAGCAGGCACCCTCGTGGGTCTCACGCCCACTTCCACAAGCCATCTGGGAGCACCACTTTCTGGATCCGGTTCTGAGCAAGAGCTGTTTGACTGAGCCTGACAAAATTAGTAAGAAAAGTACAGTTCTGACCCCTGTGGGCATTTGGCCTAAAGGCAGTGAGGTAGAAGAGACACAGCTTCCTCAGATTCTGCAGCTCACATAGCTCAGGGAGGACAATACACCTTTACATGTAGATATCAAAGATTATATCTTACGTTCCATCACTGTCTAAATACATCATAGGTGCACCTACATTCGATAAATTGAAGGTTTTTTTTTTTTTTCTTTGAGTTGGAGTTTCACTCCATCGCCCAGACTGGAGTGCAGTGGCCGCTCCCGGCCACCGCAGCTTCGACCCACTGGGCTCTGGCGATCCTTCCACCTCAGCCTTCCGAGTAGCTGGAATTACAGACGTGCGCTACCACGCCCGACTGATTTTTTGATTTATTGTAGAGATGAGGTCTCGCTGCCCAGGCGGGTCTCGAACCTGCGGGCTCAGGCAATCCACTCACCTCAGCCTCCCAAAGGCGCAGGATTACAGACTGAGCCACTGAATCCGGCAAATTGAAGGTTTTGACATTCATAAACTATATATAATACATATATTATTCTGTGACTATTTTATAATTATTGATTTCCAAATAACTTATTTTGCTTTATAAAATAAAGCCAATTTTCGTACTCAGGAGTCTGAGGTGGGAGGACTGCTAGAGGCCAAAAGTTTGAAACCAGCCTGGGCAACACACAGTGAGACCCCATCTCTAAAGAAGTTTTAAAAAATCAGCTGGACATGGAGGGATCTGCTTACAGTCCCAGCTGCTCGAGAGGCTGAGGCCAGATTGCTTGAGCCCAGGAGTTGGAGACTGCAGTAAGCAAGGATCGTGCCACCGCACTCTGGCCCGGGCGACCGTGTGAGGCCCTGTCTCTAAAAAGAAATAAAAAATAAAAAGAAACTCAATTTTTAAAAGTGCTGGTATCAATTTTATTTTTCTCATTTCATTGATATTCAAAAGTGACAGTTAAAGAATTGCTTACAGAACTGTCAAGGCAGAAAACATTAAAAGATACAAGTTTATACCAATTTTTTGAGTTTTCAAGGACAAAGTTGTTACTAAGTGACACGTGTGCATGCATACCTACAGGAAAACAAGAGGCACTGCATAGGAGTTTCTTTCGCATTAAAAAAGGCATTTTAAATGGGACTATTTTAATCTATTAATTTTTCAGTTATTTCTCAAAATTAAACACACAACTTTTCTCTTAAAGAAACATCATCTTGTGAAGTTGCCAAGAAAGTTCAAAAGTAATGGCTACGAGATACACCAAAAGTCTCCGGATTGTAACGGAAAAAGGAAGATGCAGTGTAGCTAGACCCCTAAGGTGGCTCGCATTTACAACTTTCTGCTGCACATGTCAGGAACAGCTCGAGAAGCATCTAGCGAAATGGCTGCGTAAGGCAAAGACAGACATTTAGGGTGATGGGCGCCAGCACGCCGATGCGGTCTTCACAACAGCACATCATCCCTAACCTGTCGTACGTGCCCCAAACGACACACAAATGGGCACCGACAAAAAGACGCAGCCACCGAATTCAGGCACCCGCGCCGACGCGAGCAAGGCCGGCGCACCCGCCGCGCGGCCGCGGACGGAAAGCTCCCGCCGGGACGGCGCGCCCCAGCCCACCGCCCACCGCCCACCGCCCACCGCCCACCCGGAGGAAAGGCGCCGCGGCAGGGGGCCGCAGCTGCTCTGGCCGCTCAGCCCTCCCGCCCGCGACGGAGCCCAAAGAGGCGCGCGTCAGCGTGCGAAGCGCGGGTGACAGGAAGGGCGGCGGCGCCACGGCTCGCGATGCCGAACGCCGGAACGGACCGCAAGGCCGCACGGCCGGCGGAAGGACGGCGGCCCGGCCCCGTGGCGAGCGCGGGCGGCGGCCGGCGGCCGGGGCTGGCTCCCC